GAAATTAAATGAAATTAAATGAAATTAAATGAAATTAAATGAAATTAAATGAAATTAAATGAAATTAAATGAAATTATTAAAATTATTTTACATACTAAAGAATGTCCAGTTACAATAATATCATATCCTCGACATGAATTTTCTTCTCTCATCATCATCCATTGAATATTCCATAATATTGAGGATTTCACACGATCATATACTTCATAAATCCCACGATGTACCAAAGCACCTATTTTTTTTAATTATATATTTATGAAAATAATAAATTCAAAAGTTCTTATAAACTAAATAATATTTTGAAAGCACCTTCAACTCCGGGGAATTCATAATCTAGTAACGCAAATTCCAAATTATACGCCCAATTCGCTAAATCTTGACTTCTATAATAGACAACATAGAAGGAATAAACAGCACATACAGCATTTTTTTGTGAAACTTGTAAAAAGAAATTGTAAAGAAAGACACTTTAATAATATTATTATATACTGACCCTCTAAATGCTATAATTATTGATTTACTTTTTTTATTATATGCTATATAACCACAAGCGCCTTTTAAATTATCATGGAAAAATTTTTCTATGATAACTTCACCAACACAACGAGAACCGCAAGTCCAATTTTTTAATTGATCATTTCTGCAATAAGCAGCGGCTGCATAATTAACATGACTATGTAATATTTCAAATTGATTCATTGGAATCAAATCCCTTTCACCTTCTCCTTTGAGAAAATGAGAAGAGCAATCATTTTCTATGATATCAAATAAATCATTAAATGAAGTAAAAAGAAAACTTAAGCATAATAAAAATGTGAAAAAACCAATCCGAAGAAAATGGGCCATTAGAAGTTTTTAGAGACAGCTTTTGTCACACTAAATATTTTCTTTTCACATTTATTATTAATATAAATTATTATTATTATAAATTATTATTATAAATTATTATTATATAAAATTGATTAATAAAATATTAATAGAATTATAGAATTCAAAGTTTAAAATAATTCACTTAATCCTTAATATAATTAACCCCCTTCCAAATAATCAATTTTTCATTAAAAAAACAATGTACAATATGTCCAGTATTGGAATTTGATGTTTGTTAAATATCAATACCAGCCAGTTTTTGTTAAGATTTGCAAAATGATTTTCTATACGTAGATAAACGTCGGATAGGATAGTTCTATAGTCGTACGAAAATAACTTCGCTTTACTTCAATTCCTAATTTCGTTCTCCAACTTATACATTCTTTTCTTTATCACTTCCCAACAAGAAGAAGAAAGAGTTATTATCCTCGTTTGATAAAAATATATATTTATCTTTTCATTGAAACTTTCAATATGTCTGATAAAACTAAACCAACTGTTCTCGTTCTTGGTGGTTTGGGTTTCATTGGTCGTAACTTTGTTACTTATTTGATAGAAAATGACCTTGCTTCTGAAATAAGGGTTGTAGATAAGGTATTGCTTATAACAACCGCTCTTAACGTCAGACAAAAAGCTGCTTTTAGTAAGGTTGATGTTAAGCAAAAAGATTTAGCTGATCCAGGTATGTCTTTTTTTTTTGTGTACGTGCATGATTTTTTGGATAGTTTTAATTTTAGAAGATCTCGAAATATATGAGATATATCAATTTATATAATTGAATATTGATTGATAGTTTATTTTCGGACATTTAATTTGGTTGGTGGGGGATTTAAATTTAATAAATTTATTTAATTCGGATATTTTTTAAAAAGTTTCAATTAGTGCTGTACACGAAAGGGAAGATGGAAGTTCATACGACTATGTCTTTAACCTTGCAGCTGAAACGAAATATTCTCAGAATGAAAAGGTGGGCATTTATTCTAATGAAAAATATTCCTCTGGAATATATCACGTGAACATCTGGTTTTTAATATACACAATATACAACAGGTATACGAAGAACGTATTCTCGGACTATCCGTTCGAAACGCTAAAGAGGCTGCTAAAAGGAAAGTAAAAGTATTTGTTGAAGTATCAACAGCGGAAATTTATCAGAGTGATAAAGTATGTATAAAAAAGAAAAATTTGCAAAAAAATTATTCAATCTTTTATTTAAAACCATTTTAAATAAATGACTTTTTTTGATTAGAATCCTAGTAAAGAAGATGAGAAAATTAAACCTTGGAATGTTCCTGCGAAATACAAATATAAAGCTGAGGAAGGTTTAAAAAATATTGAAAAGTAAGTTATTTTTTTTTTCATATTTGTTCGATAATATCTATAATATTTTAGTTTACACCTTTTGATTTTTAATATTTTTTTTCCTTACTCTAGTTTAAATCTTGTAATTTTGCGACCTGCGATGGTTTACGGTTTAGGTGCTACATCGGGTTTAGGTAAGTTTCGCTGATATTTCTTGAATAGTAATGGTTTTAGAATTTCGAGTAATAGTTGTATAATGATTTTTTGGATTATTTTTTTTTGTGATGGAATAGCACCTCGTCTTGTTTGTGGACGCATTTATAAATATATTAAAGAAGAAATGAAATTCCTTTGGACTAAGGATCTCAAAATAAATACCGTTCATGTGACAGACGTTTGTCGTGCCTTGTGGCATATCGCAAAATGGTATGAAAGTAATAATAAAGCTGGTAAAGGACCAGTTATTTATAATTTAGCAGATAAGGGCAATACGGGTAATTATTTAATGATAATATGATAATTTAATAATTTTTAATTTTAATTTATAAATCTCAATTATAATAATTTAATAATTTTCAATCCTGTCAATTCTATATTTATTACAATTATTACAATAATTACATTTATTATAATGTATATAAAGATCAAGAACGTATTAATAAACGTATTGGAAGTGTTTTCAATATACCAACTGGTTTCTTTGGCACTCTCACTTCGAATTTCACACAGGTTATTAGAAATTTTCTAATCTTTTATCAATCATTTCACTTCTTTCTTCTTTCTTATCAAATTATTAAATATTTAATAATAATAATTCTAATTATGATTATTATTTTTTGATTTCTAGCTTAATCTTGATAACGCAGTTGAAGATATAAATGAAAAACACATGCGACCTTGGGCGATGCTCTTAAGGAAAAATAGAATTAAGAATACTCCTTTAAGTCCTTATTTGGACAAAGAACTTCTTTACAACAATGCTTTGTGCGTTGATGGATCAAAGATTGAAGAAACCGGTTTTGAATATGAAGTTCCACAAGTCACTGATGAAAAACTTAAAGAAATGGTTGATGACTTTATTGCTTTGGGCTTGTGGCCGGTTAAAGATGATTAGATAATTTATTATTATTATTTTTAAGTGGATATTATTTATTTTTCTTTAAAGAGATTTATAATAATAATAATTATTATTATTATTATGTTTAATTCCTTATTCTGTTAATATTTTACTATTAATTTTTTTTTTTATAATTTACAATTTTATGTTATGTATTTTTTTTTCGTTGTACTCTTTTTCTCATCTCGTCTGCATGTCAAATAATAAATGATAAAAAAAATGTTTTTAGGTACAATTTGATTAGAGAAATTGATATAATTAATATAAAGAATTAAATGACGACTGAAGTTACACGAAAATTCACGTTGGCACTATAAAAATAACTCTTAAATTCGTACGACACAGCTTCCTAGACTGTTGTTTATCATATTCATATATATATATATTATTCTATATTTATTCACTATATTCTTTCCTAGGTGAATCCCTCAATTCTAGGTGACTTTATGATTGAACTTGGTGAAGATAAAACTATTGATTTATCTGTTGCTTTTAGAATTGCTAAACTTAATAAATTATTAACAGGTAAAATGATTTATTATTAATATTATAATTATAATATCCTATAATCAATTAATTTGAAATATTAACTTATTTTTTTTAACTTTATTTTATATTCAAATAGACATTATTTAATGTTATTTAATGTAGATGATTATGTAATCATTACACAATTATTTATAAAATTATCATTGCGATAATTCATTTTTAATTAGTCAAAGATTATTTATCAATGTAAAATATCGACAAAAAAAAATGTATGGTCGCTTTTTTATTCTTTTTTTATACAACACGTGCAAATCATCTTAAATTCTTTACTGGATTATTATTTTCATTAAATAATATTAATAAAAGAAAAGTTAATCAACTCAAAAAAATTTTCCGTGACAAATAATAATAATAATAATAAAAAGATTAAAGAACAATATAGTTTGGAATTTTACTTTAATAAACAAAATAATAATGTCAATAATGTCGAGAGTGTAGTTGCTTTTGTCACAAAAACGACAAAAACAAAAACAGAAGTTTCTAATACCAAAAACGTTAAAAACATTAAAAAAAATAGGGTAAAAAAAAAGGAACGCGTTATTTTGGAAACCAAAAATAAGCGCGGAAATTCTGACAAGGTTGACGAGGTTGGCAATATTAATAAGGTAATATTGCACGTGGAAGTTTGTTTACGTCATTAATTTGACCCTATAAAATTTTGGGCCCTAAAAAATTGGGGTTGTTTGTGCCTATATGTGGTTTTTTACTCTATTTAAACCTTCCGCTTTTTTTTTTGTTTTTTCTTAATTTCACTTTCTCATTTTTCTCACTTTTTTCTTTATTTTTTCCACTTTTCCTAATCTTTGAATTTTTATTATAAAAATTTTATTATAAATATTAACCTTTATTTTTATTTTATTTTCTATATTTATTAGAACAATATACTTGGATTTGAGGTACGCGTTTTCTATTTTGTAGGTAAAGAAGAAAGAAGGCTTACTCTATTTTGTAGGTACGGAAGAAAGAAGATTACTGGGATTTTGAGGTACGCGTTTTCTATTTTTTAGGTACAGAAGAAAGAAGGTTTACTCTATTTTGTAGGATAATGTAAGTGTTTTAAAATTTATTAATGGAAAAGTGGAAAATAAAAAAAGAAAATTATTTATATCTATTTTTTATAATTTTTAATATTTTTTATAATTTGTATAATATTTTTTATAATTTATATAATATTTTTTATAATTTTATAATTTGTAATATTTCCTTAACGAATAAAATAATAAATTTTGAAAGAAGTATTGAAATTATCTTTATTTTAAATTATTTTATTTAAAATAGTCATTACAATATTACTTGGAAAAAAAATGAAAATATAATTTTACTTCGCATAAATGGTTGAAAAATAAGTTCCATTTTTAAGAGAAACTAGTGTTGAGGTATGAATTGTTCTTCAAAATCTTTTGCTATTAAATTCTTCGAGATGAATCAATACTGCAGGTGAGATATGAAGTCTAAATGAATAAATATAATCATTTATATATCTTTCATTTCAGAATTATTGACTTGATTTATTAAAGTGGAAGGAGTAGACTACAATGAGAAAAGTTCAGATGAACAACACGTCAAAGAGGGTATCCTCACCAATTATACTATCAAGCATCTCCCACAGAGTCACAAAACGTAATTGTTAAGTAACTACAGGTCGTTACATCCAATATACTGAGACAAGATGGAGGAGTAAACTACAATGAGAAAGTTCAGGGTATCCTAACGCGTCTTACTTTAAATATTTTGTTTTCAACTTGTCTTGATAATAGGAAAATGCGACAAAAAAGATTTGCAAAAGCGCGATAACGCAAGATGTCAATTTGCATTATATTGATGTTTTATTATTTTTGTTTGTATTCTTTCATAGATTTGTTTCTATATAATCTTATATCCTTTCATAGTATATAATCTTATATCCTTTCATAGATCTTATTCATATTATATTAACTATGATTTTATCCGATTTTATTTTTTTCTTTGTATCTTTTCATAGATAAAATAAAATATTTTATAAACCTGATTTGCTTTTGGATTATCTCCAATGGATATTAAACTTCTCAAATTTTCCAGTAAATTATGCAAATATATCATTTTTTCAATTCGGTCAAAAGATAGAAAAGAGACGAAATGGCGAAATCGATATGGAGAGACTTTAAAGTTGCATTTATTTTAAAAAAGAATTGTTGATGGGCCAAGGTTCTCCGTGAGTTATTGTTGCTGCACATTCGTGAATCGTGAATATTACTGAGAGTCAGTTGTATTTTAACAGTGAACTAAGGGTTACAACCGTAAGTCAATTGCTATTTTTTCAGCAGTACTTTATAACAATATCATATCATTTGATTACAGTCTATATAATAAAGATTCACTTTTATATTTACTATAAATACTTTATGAAAATTTTATCTTTTTATCTTGAATACTAGACATTTTTGTTATTGGCAAATTTATTTAAAAATAAAGTGATTATTAAAATTAATAGAATTGCTTATCTAATAAACAGATTTGTTTATCCTAAAGTTTATAATTATTCTCTATATAAATCTAATAAACAAATTTTATTTGTCTTAGAATTTATAATTATTCTCTATAAAATACATACATACATACAATAATTATATTATATAATTTTTTATATTTTATTAACTATATTAAAAAGGATTAGAATAATTAGAATAATTAGAATACAAAAAAATATATGAATTAAAATCTAGAGAATGTTCAAATTTAAATAGATTTAAAATGAATCATTTATGAATCATTAGTTGCAAAAAAAGAAACAGAAGAAATAAAAATCACATTTGATCACAAGAGTGAACTTTGTTGAAAACCTTTATTTTGCTGACCATTGGAATAATTATCGGTATGTTGAAGGCCAAACATCATTTTTTGTTGTTCCATCTTAACATTAGGCATCATTGAAGTTGTATTAGAAAATGTTAATTGAGCATTGTTCATATTGTTCATATTGTTCAAAGGGTGAGAATTCAAAGTTCCCATTGAGTTCATTCCAACAATCTAATAATATATAAATAATTTCAAATCTATATTTAGTAAGAATTTAAAATTTGTAATAATAATAAAATATTTGTAAAATATTCTTACTTGAGAGTTCGTTGATAATGATTCACCATATCCATAATTATTATTATTAGTATTATTACCAAATGGTCCAGAATTCAAATTATTCAAGTTCATATGTTGATTTGCCCCAAACACATTTCCAACATTCCCAACATTTCCTGGTTGGTTATGTTGCTGTTGTTGCATCAATGAAAATTGATTGGATTGTGCTTGTTGTTGTAATTGTTGTTGTTGCTGTTGCAAAAATGAAAATTGATTAGATTGAGCTTGTTGTTGTTGCAATAATGCAATTTGAGCTGCAAATTGATTAGGTTGAGTTTGATGTTGCTGTTGTTGCTGCTGTGCAAGTTGATTAGACTGAGCTTGTTGTTGCAATAATGCAATTTGAGCTTGTTGCTGCATCAATGCAAATTGATTAGGTTGAGCTTGATGTTGTTGTTGTTGTTGTTGAAGTTGTTGAAGTTGTTGTTGTTGTAGTTTCTGTTGTAATATTTGTTGCTGCTGTTGTAATAGAAGTTGTTGTTGCTGTTGTTGCTGCTGTTGTTGCTGCTGTTGTTGTTGTTGTTGCTGTTGTTGTTGCTGTTGTTGTTGCTGTTGTTGTTGATGTTGTGTAAATGCGAGTTGATTAGTTTGGTTTTGCTGCTGTTGCATCAACGAAATTTGTTCGGAATTAGCTTGTTGTTGAATAACCCCGGAACCTAAGGTAACAAATTGGGAATGCATGTTCATATTATTATTGACTGTTATCGATTGTTGTGGTGCGTTATATAGAGACATGATTGCATTTTTGTCAAATTTGGCTTTTTGTTGTTGTTGTTGCAAATTAGCTGGATTTAAGATTTAAAAACAATTGTTAAATAAAAAATAAAATAAAATAAAAATAAAACTTAAATTTAATTTAATTTACTCAAGTCAGAGTTAAAATAGATTACTAACTTGATTCTTGGGTTGTTTCACCGAAAAAAATATCGGAAAGATCTTTTTGGCCAGAAGTTCGTGTTTGATGAGAATTATGAGAATTATTGGGTGAACTCAATCTAAGAATATCATCATCATTCGATGCGGAAGATTTACTTTCTGATAATAATGTAATGGCTACTTTTAAATTACCACCAGTTCGTTGAAGAGCATCTCGATTTTTTAAATCATCAAGATATCCCAATTTTCTCAAATGTATCAATTTTTCATCATTAGATATATTAGATGATGTATTATTAGATGATGTATTGGAATTAAGTTTTGAATTATTTCCACCAGGTAAACGACATAAAATTTCAACGGCTGCATGAAGATCACCATTTGTTGTATTTAATACTTCACGATTACGACTCATGTCGGTAAATCCCATTTCCTTAAGTTGACGAAGTGTATGATCATAATTTCCTCGATCTGAACCTTTTGTAGAATTTTCTGTTTGTTTTACTGTTATTGATGCATTTGGTTTTGACTATTACATATATATATATAATTCAATTCAAATCAATGTTATCTGGTGTTATCTAATTCCCAATTGACCAAAAATAAATAAATAAATAATAATAAAAATATTAAACCTTAGGAGTGCTCTGAAAAGCACGTCGTTCGTATTTATTGCGTATATATCTTTCTATTTCACTATTATAAATTTGTTGAAACCGAATGAATGAATGAATAGAAATAAATAAATCCTCCAATTAATCATTTAATTCTTTTATTTACCCATCCGATGCACTCAATGTTATGGGATGAAGTTCGGGACGAGGATTCCATTTTGCATTGGCTTTCAAATTTCCCCATTGTCGCATAGACTTAATGTTTGATAGAAATTTAAATAGAAATTAATTAGAAATTTAATTAGACTTAGTTAAATGCTTTTTTTTTTAAAAAAAAAGGAAGGAAATTGGTTAATTAATTACCTCTATCTGTTCTGAAGTCCAAGAATCTAAAGTTATTGATTTCACTTTTGAGATGTGGGTTCCCATTTTCCTGTGAAATCCACAACAGCGAATACACAGGAAAATGCCTAGATTATATGATGCCCATCGTGGTCCTTAAATGTATTTAAAAAATTTTATTTTGTTTATCAGATAACATGGGCGAATAAATAAATAAAAAACAACTATTATAGAATTTATTAAATTGGTTAGAGTCAGTAGTTTACCTTTCGCGCCACAATCCGCGCAAGTATCATTTCCTGGTTGTTTTGAAAGTTCATATAATATATTTTCGTGTTTTTCGTTAACGACTTTTTTGGCTCTATCCATGATAATGTACGAGAAATATGTGTGGTTATTTGATGAGTTTTTTAGAAATGAAAGTATTTATAACCTGTTGATGTATTTTCAATGGTTTGTTTTTTCTTTTTGCATATTCAATTTATAAAATTTTTTAAAATTTCATTGGTTGATATCAAATTACTAAAATGGCACATAAATTATATAAATGTCAACTTATTTATTTTATCTATTATTAATAAAAAATGTCTTCAAATACAAATCTATCAATGGCTGAGGTAGAATCTAATACTATTCTATCAACTGCCGAGATAGAATCATCACTTAGAGAAAATGAAACTTCCCTGGCTGAAGTTAATGAACTTTTAGTTTTAAGTCCTGAAGAACCGGAACTCCTTAATCTTGTTGAAGTACTACAAAATTTGATAAAATTACAACAAATACAGTTATTAGAGTCGAAAAAAAATGATTTACTTAAGCTTCTTGGTGGTCCTGTTGAATCGTCTGACCAAATCATAGGAGAAAGGGTGAGGAATATACATATATATATATATATGGAATCGATACAATGGAAGATTGCGGCATCAAAAAATTATTTTTTTTTAATAAGTTGACATCCCTTTTTGCTCTTTGGATAAGTCAAATTCTGCAGAGGAATCGATACAGAGTGATTCATTGACTTACGACGAAAGAATTCCTATTAAACCCAATGCAGACGCAGATTCAGATTTAAATAAATTAAAAGTCGGTGATAAATGTTGTGTACCATTCACTCATCCGGAATATCAGAAAGTATATTTTCTTCCCGGGTTAATACAAAATATTAATTCCGAAACAAAAACTTTTAATGTTTTAATTTTAACACCTATCATACCTACTCTTCGAATATGCGAAGCATATATGTCTAATAAATGCAATCACCAACAACAACAACAATGTAAACGTTCTCACGGAGAAGAATTTTCTTCGGATTTAGTTGTTCCATATGAACTTTTATTTATCAATCAAACGAATGCATATAAAATTGGACGTAATTTTTGGACAAAGTATAATGATGGCGTGTGGTACATGGCAAAACTCATAGGTATTGAACCGGAAGGTTCGAGTTTTCGAGTGATCTATAAAGGTTATGAGAATCAAGATCCACATGGAGTAGTGGTTGGACCTGATGAAATAATACCAGTTCAATCACTTGATGAAGAAGAAGAAATTGATTCCGAACAAAATAATTATTCGGATAATGAAAGTGATTTTAGTGATGATTTTCTGTCAGATGATTCACCACCTTCGCGTGAAGATTTGAAACTTGACCATGTATCAGATGATGAGACTAATAATATCGCAGAATGGGAGAAACATACAACGGGTGTTGCAAGTCGAATGATGAAAAAGATGGGTTATAAAATGGTATGTGAATATGATATGTATTATTCTAAATTTAAAAATAAATCTTTTTAAAATACTTTACAATCCCTTTTATTTCTTTAGGGTGAAGGATTGGGTAAAAACAATGAAGGAATTGTAAACCCAATTGAAGTCAAAATTTTTTCTCAAGGTGTTTCCTTGGATTATATTAATGAAAAAGATAAACCTAAATTTAAAAAACAGAAACCGCCAAAATCACGCGATAATAATCATAAAAAAGGCAAAAAAAGATTAACTTCTCAATCAACACGACCTCACAAACGGGCCAAATTTAGACCACCCTTTTCTAATTCAGTTGATGATATTGAGTCTCAATCAGACGTTTTTGATTTCTTAAATGCTACTCTTAACAAAGGGAAAAAGTCTGAAACACAGAACGTGAATAACGTTGTGAAAATATCCTCAACTGTTACAACCTCTGACGATCGATCAAAAAAATCCAATGAAATTAATGCTCACTTGACATTATATCAGATTCAAAATCAATTAAATCAAACACAGCGGGAACTTAAAAGGGTCAACGAATCATTAAAAAGGAACGAAAAGAACCCAAAAATGGCAAAACATTTTCGAGAAAAGGTTGCGCAGATTGAAGTAACTTATAGAGAATTGCAAAGAAAAGAAAAAGGAATCCAAAGTGGTTTAGATAAAGAAAAAGATCAAAAAAATATGTCTAAATTTTGATTATTTTTTCTTTTATTTTTATATTTTTTTATGGCAAATACCACCACATATTACAATTTTTCAAATAAATATTTAAACGTGTTATAACAATATATTTATATATACAGTTACACTTAACACTTATTAATGCTATGTAAAAAACCTCTATAATTGTCATATCTATATAGTCACAGTTTTTGGTTTGACTAAAGGGTATATATGTTTAAATCTTTCGCTTTTCCCAAGATTATAAAATATACTTACATATAAGATTAAAAGATTTTCACGTTCGATATTGAAGTCAAATTACGCAAATCTACAGTGTTATTAATAATTTAATTAAAAGTTAAAATTATAAAAACGCTTATCTCGATGTCCTCGTTTTACACTAATCCACGAATTGTAATATTTAATACAGTCATGAATATACGCTGGTAATGAAGCACAATCCTAAAAAATTCATAATATTATATAAAAAAAAATCACTATAATAATTTTAAAAAAAAATCTTCTTACCAAATGCCGCTTAGAACCAAGTTTTTAAAAAAAATTGTTAGTATTTAATACCTACCTGTAAATCCTTGTAAATCCTTTATTCTGACTATTTATCGTTCTAAAAAAGTACAGATCAAAAATGAATAGAAAAATAATGATGAAAAACGAAAAAGAAAATGGGAAGAGATAAAGTAAAAAAAAAGCTCGTTTATATCAGTAATCTGTGTTCGTATCACGTAAATTATTGGGGATCACATCACGCGTTTAATAATTAATAAAAGGTAATCGCTCGCCCTATAAAAAATAATTAATTCAACAAACCTTTTTTTTTTTAATTTACGATATTTAACTATATGATCAAATAATTTGTAATATTTATCAAATTATCATTATTATTAACTCTCAATTAATAAAGACGAAAGGAACAAAGTTTATTTATATCTATATACATAAATAAATTTCATTATAAAATTAAAATTAATCCAATAAACATTTTCTTACCATTCTCGCTTCTAATTTAACCAATAATCTACTCATCCTTAAACAAAATGGTAACAAACATAACATAAAACTAATTCCCAATGCAAACAAGGTAATGGCTAATGTAAATACTATTATGGATATTAAAAGTTTTGTAAACACAAAGTATATAACTGCACGAATGGTAAAACGATCTTTAAGGAGTGAAAATAAATATTCAAACCTTCCTGAAGGAATTACATGATGATATTGATTCATATTACTAAATAAAATTTGAGGAGATACTCGGGTAATGGATGGAAGTGGGGTATGGGTTGACAAGGCAATATCGGAAGGTGATGATATCGAATTTAGTATTGCAATCTCCAATCTTGCGAGCATTCTAGAAAAAAATAAAATAAAATAAATAAACGAAAAAGTAGGATAGCATAAATGTAGTATAAATAGGAGAATATATGAAATACCATAACTCTATAATATAAATCAAAAATGATCTAAATATAAATATCTCTATTAACTGACCTCCATGAATAAACTGAAAAAAGTAATATTACATAACCGACAGGGGGAAATATCAAAGAACAAAAACCACCAATGAAAGATCCAATCACCCAACCAAAACAAAAGCATGCATAAGGAAGATCCCATAGGATCAAGTATGCCATTGCAGCCCAATTTCGACCTTCTTCCAAAGGAGAGAAAAATGATTTTTTTCGAGGTTGAAATCTATGAACATTTTGTAATGGTGGTGATAATGAAATATATTGATGATGGTGGTTGTTGTTGCTGTTGTTATCAGACCTAATATTGGTATTTGGTAAATTTGAATAAGAAGATATAACATCATCATAACTTGGTGGTGCATCGGATGGAACAGGCGAGGACAAATGTGGATGGTCTAATTGAGTCATGATAAAAAAAAATGGTGGATATTATATAAAGAAAAAATAAATAAATAAATTCTTTTTAAAAAGAAATTCGAACATCACACAAAAGTCTGCATAAAGAAGATCTCAGTGCGACTCAAAGCCACATTTAATGTCAAACGAACCAAATTCACATGAAAAAAAAGAAATGTAACGATTCGAAAGTGATTTTTATTAAAAAAAAAAAGTTGTACCAAAATCTGTCGGCCTGATTATCCCATTGACCAAAGTATAATTTTGGAGTTAAGTAATCAGTTCCTAAAAGAGTTGGACATCCTTATAGTGGATACGAGAATTAAAAAATTCCCTGGCAATGAACTTTTTAAAAAAAAAGTGAAAAGTGCATCGTGGCTATCCACAGTGATCCAAATAAGTATAATTGAGTGACAGGTTTGTTAAATTAATATTCTATGAATATGGGATTCTAATATATTAAAATATATGCAGCTCATGCGAACTTGATTGGTTATTTTCATCAGAAAGGTAAAATTTATAAATTTTATTTATTCCTTAATTTTTTTTTTTCACCAAAAAAATTTGGCACTCTCTTTATATAATATTATTTTAATAATATAAATATAATCACAAAATTTTAAACAAACGTTGATTTGATGTATTACTTAAATATAGAAAAAATCGAATTCTTTTAAAGTTCTTTGCTAATCATGTTTTACTTAATTATAAACTGTATATTTGTTCTTCGCTGAACCCAAACCCTATTGGCTAAGGCAAATAGATCTTCAGGCGTGGTACAAGTAATCTAGTGTTACCTAAATAAAAATAACACTTTTTATTTGGCGTGTAACAATAACGATGATATTTGCGTACAACAATAGTAAAAATCCAAAAAAAAAAAAAATTTTAAACTATGCAAGGGGAATGTACGTAATGTACAAGTAATGGTTGTACAAGTAATGGTTGTACAAGAAGATGAAAATACATACATCGATTTAGGTTGAAAAAATCCATTGAATTTTTGATAATTTTTGATTATTTATTGAATAAATGTTTTCCTTTTGAAAAATACATTCGAAGTAGTACATTTGAAGTACATTTGAAATGCATCAAATGCTGAATTGTTACTTGGATTTTGTGTGAATATCACAGGATACAATATTTTGAAATTAAAATTATTTATTTATTTATTTCTCGAATTAACTTGATTTTTTAAAAATAAAGTTTTTCTATTAAAGTAATAAAAATAGAAAAATGAAATACACAAACAACCCATATCCAAATATAGATCAAGTCATTAGAAGGATACAATATTCATTTTATCATTATTTTTAGTTGACGATTAAAAATATATACTACGACAACATTCCTAATTAGAATGATATCATTAAATTGTAACCCTTACACATAATAACAATAAAATTCATTCTTCTTCAATTTTAATTTCTATTTATTAATAAATCATAATTTGTATATATTTGACCACAGTAGTAGTGATAAAAGATCATCCGTTGGCGTAAAAAAATCTTTAAAAAATACTCATGAATTATATTATATTTTTTTTTTTTTTTTAATATGGAAGATATTAAAAGATATGTATCTAAGATATATATATGCATCAAAGATAATAATTATTTTTTTATAGAAAATATTTAAAACTATACATATTTTTGATTTTCCACGTCTATTGTTCTTTTGATTTTTTACCATATTTGATATCTTTAACGCGGGAAGTTATATTATGTGATATTACATATTATATAATATTATATAATATTACATTATTATTTGATATTAAATACTCTTTACCATTTTACTCATTTTACTCAACTAATTGATTGTTATGTAAAAATAAAATATATGAATAAATTAATAAATAAATAAAAAAAATAAAATTAGTGACAAAAAATGACAGCGAATCTTGACTTTTTAGTTTGATATAAACTATCTTTGCCTTTATATTTATAGTATTTTCATTAAGTATTCATTTTCGGTAACACATTGATTCAAATCTTATTAAATTTATTCATATAACCTAAAAACCGGTATATAATTTATTTATTTTATTTATTCTATTTTCACAATACATTTTTTTTTCTTTTTTAGTATATATATTTTTATCTCTATAACTTTCTATTATTATCCATTATCTAATATTATCTTAGATGTTTAGTTATTTATTATTAGTGTCACAGATCGCGTTTGTAGAAATTGAAAATAAAAAATGAACACGAAACCCCTATTTTTGGAAATAATTATTAATGAAAAATTTATTATATTTGTCAAAATCTTTCTTTCGGCACTAGACTTCTTCATAAAAAATTTCTATTCATATTGTTATTTTGATATCACTAAACGTTGATTTGTTATTAATTTATTATAATTTATAATAATAATAAAAAAAAAAATTGTAATTTAAATTGTCCTCTCTAAGAATTTGACAATTTGATAACTTTCTTGAAAAATTATAAGAAATTAAGAAATTATAATAATAAATTATAAAAAAAGTTAGAAGCGTAAGGAGTCTAATAATAATAAGGTAACTTTGTATTTCTTTTTTTGTTTTATTTTAAAAAATTGTAAATAAAATTAATTAAAATATAATAAATATATCGTTTTTTTTTTTTTTTCTTGGCAACCTTTTTTTTTTTTCTCTTTTTTTATTTCCTAACCATTATAATTAGAATAAATATTATAAAATAAATTTAATAATAAATACCAGTAAATTCGAATAAATTCAATAAATTCAATAAATTCAATAAATTCTTTCTTCATATTTTAAAATATTAAAGACCTATCTTCATGTTTGTCTCCAAGCAAATTTCGTTAATTCATTTTTGATATCAAGTTAATGAAAAACTCCATTATAATCCGTTAGTTATCATCATATTTCAAGAGAAAAGAGAAGACTCTTCTTTATGAAAATAATATCAAATAATTCAAATAAACAAATATCAAATAATCTTAATATAAATATTATTTTAAAATTAAATTTATAATAATATTATTAATAAAAATAACCGAGAAGAAATGTCTTCAAAAAAAACATTACCACAAATTCCTACCGCTCCTTCTCTTTCCTCTCCTTCTTCTTCCCAGCCTCCTCAACTTAATCTTCTTCATGATTTAAATGATAATGAAACAACACTATCATCATATATTAATAATATTAATATAAGTGGTGGTAGTGGTGGAGGAGGATATACCCCAAGTGATTTTTATAATGGTCAATCCAGAACTTTGGAAAGAAGAGATAGTCCAAGAAATACGAGTTGGAATTCACCAAAACGACATTCACAACATCAACAACAACAATCACTTCATCTATCACCCCATCTATCACCTCGTCCATCTCTATCGCATAAAAAGTCATATCAACAGTACCAACGAGTACAGGATGTGTCATCAGATAATCAAGTTATAAAAAGTGCTGGTATTTATTTTTTTATTATTATTATTTACCATTCAAGTTATGTTATTGAATATATTTATTTAACGCGTACATCTTTCCAAAAATACAAAACTTTTTGTTAATTAATTTTTATTTTTTTTTATCTTTTATTTTATTTTTTTTTTATTTTTATTTTTTTTTTTTGAAATTTCATATAATTCATATAGAAAATGAACCTTTTATTGAGGAGGGAAAATTAGAAGGGATTGATTCTCAAATTCATGCGGATTCAGGATATATACAAAGTTATCGTCCTCGTCCTAATGAAAATGAACAAATTGAAGAAAATCAAATACTTCAAGGGAGGGTTCATAATAATGATAATGATAATTTTAGAAATTTGAGTGGAGGAATTCCAATTGAAACAATTGAAACAATTGAAACCAAATTTACTGCTACCAATATTACTACTGGTAAATCTCCAACGCGTGCAAGATCTCTGGTAAGGCCTGAACGTTCTCGAAATCCACCTTACCGTCGTAATACTAGTCATCGTAATATTAATAGGCAAGGAGATGATCCTTTAGACGAACGTATAATAAATGAAGAATCTCAAAATTTTTTGAGTATATTTCCTGCTGATGAAAGACGAAAAATTACTCATTTACCAAATGATAGAAGAGAACCAAAAGCAAAAAGAAAGTGGTATCAATGTAAATTCCCATCTACTTGGGTAATGTTTTCAAGATGTATTACCTGTTGGGCACCTTCCTCTTTATTATCATGTTTTGGTATGTAATTTTACAATTTAAAAAAAAATTATTATTTTAAAAATAAATAAATAATTAATTAATTAATTTACTTATTTATTTTACTCGTAATTTTATAGGAATCAAAGATCGTTCAGTTCAACAAGCATGGCGAGAAAAGATCGCTTTAGTGTTTATCATTTTGGTTTTATGTGCTGTTGTTGGATTCTTAACGTTCGGATTAAATCAAGCTTTTTGTAGATCTCCTCCTACCCGAGTACGTTTTGGTGGTGTGAATAGAAATCAAACTGTAATTCTTGGAAAAGTATATGACATTTCAAATGCAACTCATAAACTTTATTTAAGTTCTAGTATTAATAATATTGCTAGTGAACGGCTAAATAATAACTCAAATGGTGCTGCAGGACATGATTTAACTTTCCTATTTCAAACTGAAAATCGTAATTGTCAAAAGTGGCTTAAAAAACCTTCTACTGATTTAGATAGATCCCGTTATTTTCCTTGTGTATCAACTGATTTACTTTTCCCTGCTACACCAAGTTCTGATATTAATGTGGGCACTGTAGGATGTCATATAAATGTAAATTTAAGAAGATCTTTAAGAACTCAAAATGTTAAACAAATTGGTGATTTATATTTCATTTGGGATGACATTAATAGCCTTACTAAAAAAGGCCGCAATTTTATGGTTTATAATGGGTAAATGTATTTTATTTATATATATATATATATTATTATTATTGGTTCTTTCTTCTGGACAAATTGATTAATAGAAATGATATTAACATTAAAAATAATTATCTTATATCTTATTTCATCTAGAAATGTACTTGATATGGATCGACTGAAATGGCTGTTTAAGAATATTACATTGGATAAAAAACTTAAAGACTTTGCTGATAATAGAAAATACATTGGTCGTGATAATACTTATTATCTACAAAAACATAAAGAAATGGCAAATTGTTTAGTATCAACTATTCGAGTTGGAGTCATCGATTTTAGTTCCATTGGTTGCGTTATTACAAATGTGATAACTTATATATCCTTAATAGTAATTGTTGCTGTAGTTTTAGTTAGATTTTTATTGGCTGTTTTATTTGGATGGGTTTTGAGTTGGAGATTAGGAAATTTTCGAGAAGAAACTGCCAAAGATAGGGCAAAGAGAGAACACGAAATTGAGAAATGGGAAAATGTAAATAATCATTTTTTAAACAATTCAAGGTAAAATATTTTATTATATATTTTGTAAAAAAATTTTTTTTTTTTTTTTTTTTTTTTTTTGATTTATATTTATAAATATTTATTTTCATTGTTTATTTTTATCAAAGAACAAATTCTTCATCTTTTAATGCAAGTAAATCTCGATATTCAGCACCTATTCATGGCTCCGCCACACCATATCGAAGACAAGATAATCGTTCAACTAGTCGGCAATATAATTCCGGTCTCCCGGAATCTGGTGAGAAGAAATTTCAAAACGGTTCCGCTAGTTCTCTTATTCACCTTTCATCAACTAATAGTTCTTCCGCAGCGATAACGAATGAACTCTCTACCGATTCTCGACCACCATCGATCAATAACGATGAAAATTATCAGAGTCGAGCAAATTCGCTTTCTTCCACTACCTCCTCTGCAATTCAAAGTACACCTTATCAAAATGATCATGTTTTACCTGAACAACGTTTCAATTTTGCCTTAATGCACACTATCATGTTAGTTACATGTTACTCTGAAGGAAGACAAGGTTTAAAGACAACATTGGATTCTTTGGTTGCCACCGATTATCCTAGTTCTCATAAAATCATTATGTGTATTGCTGATGGTCTTATATATGGTGCAGGTAATGATTTATCGACACCCGAAATATGTCTTTCATTGATGAGTGGTTTTATTGTACCAAAAGAAGAAGTTCGAGCCCATTCATATGTCGCAATAGCTGATGGTAAAAAGCGTCATAATAAAGCCAAGGTGTATGCTGGTTATTATAAATATCATGAAAATGATGATTCACTAAAAGTAGTCCGTCGTATACCTATGATTACTTTGGTGAAATGTGGTGGTCCAGGAGATGATGAAAAGAAAGCGGGAAATCGTGGAAAACGTGATTCTCAACTTATTTTAATGAGTTTCCTACAAAAGGTTATGTTTGATGAAAGAATGACTCCACTTGAATATGAATTCTTTAATGCTATTCGAACCGTGAGTGGTGTTACCCCTGATTGTTTTGAATTGGTTTTAATGGTAAGTAAAATGGAATTATTTTGAAAAAAAAAATAATATTTATATTTTCAGACAAAAAAAAAACAATTAAATATTATTTTCTATAATTAGGTTGATGCAGATACCAAAATTTTCCCTGATTCATTAACTCGAATGGTTGCTTGCATGTCCCGTGATCCAGCAGTAATGGGACTTTGTGGGGAGACAAAGATTGCCAATAAATCTGACACGTGGGTTACAATGATTCAAGGTACTATAATAATATTATTTAAAATATATCACATGTAATTTAATGTATAATTCTAACATTTTTTTTATCTATATAGTTTTTGAATACTATATTTCTCATCATATGCAAAAGGCATTCGAATCTATTTTTGGTGGTGTCACTTGTTTACCTGGTTGTTTTTGCATGTATCGTATAAAGGCTCCTAAAGGTGCTCCCGGATTTTGGGTACCAATACTCGCAAATCCGGATGTTGTTGAAAAATACTCTGAAAATGTTGTTGATACTCTACACAAAAAAAATTTATTACTCCTTGGTGAAGATCGATATCTTACGACTCTTATGCTTCAAACGTTTACCAAACGTAAAGTGATGTTTGTTCCTCAAGCCGTTTGCAAAACTATTGTTCCTGATACATTTCTTGTACTTCGATCTCAACGTCGCCGATGGATCAACTCCACAGTGCATAATTTATTAGAACTTGTACTCATACCTGACTTATGTGGTACATTTTGCTTTTCCATGCAATTTGTTATATTCATGGAATTGATCGGTACAGTTGTACTTCCGGCGGCTATCTCTTTCACCTTTTACCTTATCATTGTTTCTTTCTTTCAACGTCCCGTTCCTTGGGTTCCTCTTTCACTTTTAGCTGTAGTATTGGGTCTTCCCGCTATACTCATTTTATTGACAACACGTAAACTTATTTATGTTGGATGGATGATTGTTTACCTTTTATCATTGCCTGTATGGAATTTCGTTCTTCCTGTGTACGCGTATTGGCATTTTGATGATTTTTCATGGGGTCAAACTCGTGTAGCACAAGGTGATGAAACCGATAAAGATCACTCTAGAAAGGAAGGAGAATTTGATAGTTCACAAATTATAATGAAACGATGGGCAGAATGGGAACGAGAAAAAAGATTACACTATCGAAATTCACAAAAACAACTATTACATTCATCAATAATATCACCGGAAGAAATCTATTCACCATCAACAAACCAATCAACAGCTTCAGCAATAATACAAGGAAATGAAAAGTCATTAAATTATTCATCACAACCTCATAATTCTCGTGGTAAAAGGAGAACAGGAAACGATTCGTTGATGTTACCGCCACCGTTAAGTTCAACGCAAGTTAATACGAATGATGATTACAGTAATGAAAATATTGGTATACATCAAACGATGAGAACTTATAATAATGATTACCCCTATAATAATAATAATAATAATAATAATAATAATATATATAATATAAATAATAATATCGTAAAGCGCCGAGATTCATGACACGTGACACACCTCAGATGTGAATTTTAAGGAACAATTTATAAAAACTTTTTTGTATTTTAGTATTTTGTATTTTTGTATTTTGTATTTTTATAATATTTCTTTTTTATCCATTGTATCTTTAGAACGTATTTTTAGATTATAATGGAGTCGAATAATTAAAGAATAGAATAAAGGAATGTACTATTAGTCGGCAAATAAATCTCGAATGGAAAATTTTTTATCACATGTATATTAGGAATATCAATTTAGGGGGGGTTTCATTATTATTTTTATAATTATTTTGAATATTATTATAATAATAGACGTTTCCATCAAGAATTAACAAGGTGAACGGCTTTATTAGTTAAAAAAAAAAAAAAATCCACTAAACCTTTATTTTTTGCATTTAATCAAAAAAAATTTTCAATAAATGATTACAAAATTTACTGATCGCATCATTTATTAATATAACTTTCACTTATTGATATAATTTTCACTTTATTATATAATTAAGATATTTTTAATTTCTTCCCAAGCTATTTTTATTTTTATATACTGTTTAAAAATAAGGTATTATTTGTATAAATAAGGAATAATTGATTTAAATTCGATTCACGTGTATCTATCTTTAGATTCAAAATTCATCATTGAACTTTAATTAACTTTCTAATTAATCATTATATATTTTAGTATCATGACTTTTTCAGGGTCTCATTTTAAAAATCCTTATTCATTATTACCGTCTCTCATTGAAGGAGATGAAACAAATTCAATTTTTTTTTTTTCTATATATCTGTGACCAATCTTCTATTGTAGTGCCACCAATTACAACAGCTATATATATATATTTCCATAAATGAACACATTTTAAATGCAAATTCTATTTATAATAATCAATAAATATAAAACAAATAAAACAATTAGCTTGTGTCTTTTTTTAACGGGTTTGTCTTAAAGAATCCTTTTTTTTTTATATAACTTTCATATTTTCAGTTTTTAAACTTCTCTTCGAGAAAACTTCTCATTAAAATTTTAGAAATATAGAAAATATAGACACCAATATACTTAATATACTTAAATATGGCCAAGTCACAAATATTAATTTTGGTCGCTTTATTTTTCTTTTTTAATAGCGCTTTGGCCTTTGATCGTAAGCTACCTTTTTTTTACTTTTCACAATGATAATAATATTTTTTTTTTTCGATAAATTCAATTCTTTTAATCTTTTCATTTCTATTTTCTGAATTTCAGCATACAAAGTTGACAACTCAACCAAGGAAAACTGGTGTACTAATCAGAAAGCATCCTGTATAAACATTTGTCAAGATTCAAACGCTGGGGGTGTTATCGTTAATGAATGTAATACTGAAACTCTCGCTTATGATTGTCAATGCGAAGATGGGACCAGGCCAAATTCAACTCGTAAGTATAAAATTGTTAATAATAATAATAATAATAATAATAATAATAATAATAATAATAATAATAATAATAATAATAATAATAATAATAAT